CAGAGAGAAGTGGTGATCAGGTGTACGCAGCTTATGTAAACCCCGCTCCTCTTCTGGTTTACTTTGCGCGAAGGCTCAGCCACACACTTGAGGGATCGGTGGCGATTGTGGTGGTTCGCTTTTTTCCCCACGATGTCAGGACGTGAAGCGGCGTCGGAAGCCGGTGGAGCTTTTAATTTCCCTCTTTTTAACCCGCGTTAGTCGTGTATTTCGCCCGCACCATCTGCAGACCTCCTTCCTTTTTTCCCTCCGCCCCCGGGGCCCGCTCCCTCGCTTTCCTGACCACCTCTCCGCCCCCCGGAACGCTGGAATGACTTCATCATTGACTTCACCCCTGTCACACTTCCTCCTGTTATTTCTGAGCAACAGCCGTTTCCCGTGTGATCTTTTGGACTGTCAATGATACTGGTTTTAATATCTGATTAAACTCCATTTCCAGCTCCGTTTTCCAGTTGCTTAGCTCATTTCTTTTCCTGTTCTCTTCCAAACACGTCTACCTTGGTCTTTTTTCTTCCAAATTCCTTCATTCTGTCTACCATTTAATGTAGTTTAGCATCATTTGCTACTCCGCGATTCCACCACGTGATGCTTTTGTGACTCACTCCTCTTACTCTCTTTGAATCTACTCCCATTTTTTTAACCTCCTGTAATCAAACATTTCTGTCTTTAAAGCTCGGGCTTTCTGTTCCCCTTTATTAGCACTTTCACTCCTGCATTTGCAGACACTATATTGATGCTGGTGAGTGCTTAAGTTGGTCCCCTCCTTATTCAGACATGCAGCAATTACGTTTTCACTCGCTTTAGGAATAATTTTATTGCCCTTTCTGATCAACTTCTCCATAGATCGTAACTTCAGAGAAACGATCAACAGCTTCTACTCAAAACTTCTGCGTAATGGGTATCAGAATTCACCCATCGAGTCTTCTACCGAGCCCGCTAACGGTTGGGTTAAGGCGGCTTTAGGAAGATACTCGCCCATCGACCTAAGAAATCTTCCAAGAGATGAAGCAGCCGTTCCCACCCTTCGGTGAGTAGTCTCAGTTAACTAATGACTCCTATTAAAAATGCGCATCTGATTTTTGGCATGTTGTCTGACAAGGCGCTATCGCACCTTGTTGGCTTTAGCTTCCGGTGCAGGGCGAGATCACACCGTAACTCTGTCACTAAAGAGTGGGATCCCGCCTTTTGTGATGTTTTCTTCTCATTATTTCGACCCGCCCTTTTTGAAGTGTATACCAAAGTGTTATCAGCAGTCTTTGATAACGACTTCATAAAGGATACACAAGTAATACACCCTTCCGCCTCTTCTGTCTTCCCAGAGGAACGTTAGCCCCTCTGCGTTCAGCTGGTCGCTGACGACTGACTCGGTCCTGTAAGTTATTTTCAGGATGGTTTCCCCTACAGACCCGTATACGCGATTCGCAGATGCCATTAGTGGCGATTTTCTACTTTACTGTCAATTATTCTCTCACAAATAGGTAACTGGCCCTTTAGAATCCCACTAGAAGTCCATTTACTGGATAACCGTTTATCCATGACCAAAGTAGTCAGGATTTCGTGTTACGTTTCAGCCGTGGGGTGTGTTGGGTCTTGGCGGCTCTCTGAAGCAGAGCACACTTACGTAGCAAGGAAGACGCGCATCGCGCGTGTAAGCTGCGTTAGGCCAGCAGTTCCCTTTGCAACCTCTTCGAAAAGCTGGATCAACTTTGACAAGATACTCAAAAACGTGTCGATCAGCTTTAACTAAACGACTACCTGTAGTTCTGAACCGACTACTAGCTTTTCCATTATTTTGCTCAAAAGTTGTGTCAAGATTATTCTTCTTACTGCTCTTCCCTTCCATTACCTTCCGATTTCCCCCTTGCGTTGAGTATTCCTGCAATTTTTGCTGGGAGTTTTTTCCCAGTATTCTGTTTTTTTAAACAAAAGCAAGGGGTACCTGCACAAACTTGTCTCCTCTTCCGTATCCTTGTTTGCGCCCGTTTCTTTCTTTTCTCTTCCTCCGCGTCCCTCGTTTTACGTGTTCCGTAAGCCATGACTTCCCCCGCAGCGCTCCCCTTCTCTTCCTTCGAATCCCTTTCCTCGGTTGTAGTTGCCGTCAGGAATGCTTTTTTCATCCCCG